TTTTTTTGCTCTCGCTGTAATTTGCGCGCGGCTAGGATGTGAAAAAAATGCTCTTCGTACCGGAACGCTTGCTACTTACGCTGAGAGTTGTTCAAGTATCTGGGTTGGAAAAAGGGCTCGATTGTGTATTACGATAAACGGGTATCTTGTTCAATTTTCGGATGGTGTGGACTTGGCTGCAAGCTGTAAGCAGCAAAGACGTCAAAATTACTGGGAAGACATTGAACGATCGCCACGAAAACAAAACAAAACAAAACAACAACAACAACAACAACAAAAACAAAAACCCTCTGGGACCCAGGGTAGTAGATTATTCACTTTAAAGGACAGTTTCACGGTTCGACGCATGTGCAAACTGTGACGTAGCCCTACCCAATTCCATTGTCTATAAACCAATCAGATGTGAGTACATAACTCGTTCGTCGGGTCCCTGGTTCGGCCCGTACAACAATGTTCGATGTTCAATTTTAAATTCGCCATTTTCTGTCTAAATCCGTTTATATCTTCCGTAAAATTCGGACACCAGTCATTCTGCTAGCCTTCGTGTAGCCGTGTAGCTACTCAAAGGCTATCATTACGCTTTCAACAAACTATAATCTGTAATTTCTGAAATATAGCTTGTTGTTACGAAAACGAAAATGTACTTTATGCGTGGGGTCGGAACATTCCAAATGAATTCTAATGAGAAATCTCACCTATATCGTCATGTTTTCGCGACTGACCATGAAATTTTTCCCAAGAGTCATTCGCATGCTTCCGATTGTTTTATAAACAATGAAACTGAATAATTAATATCATGTAATGTTGTAGCTTGCACATGCGCCGAGCCGTGAAACCCTCCCTTTAAAATAATTCATTACAGAAACTGCCACAGCTGTAGCTATAATTTTGAGAGGACAGACGACCAGTTTAGTGCTGATGTTACTTGTTTAACTCAATAGTATCGAGTTAAACCAGAGGGTGAGGAAGATTGCGTGACGAACCCAAAGAGCGTCTGACGTAAGCAGCTAATTAATGCAAAAGTTTTGTACTACTGTATAATGTATGTCGATAAACTGTTGATTTTCCTTTTCAATGTTATTATATTTTCTTTAGTTTATATATGTAATACCATGTATTGTTATGGAAACACCTTAATAAATTGTTGTTTTTGATGTTAACGTGAAACTTCCAGTAATATTATGTGACAGTTTACATGTAATTGTGTGACAATATATCATATTTTTAGTTGCGCGATTCAGGGCAACTCGGAATAATAGAAATCGGAAGTGCGTGCTTGTTCAGTCGATGTCATCAGAACATGTAAGCTGTGATCAAAGCAAATGTCTAGAGAAGGTTGTAAGACAATCAAATTAGGTTTCGGTAAGCTTTCAGGAGTGCCGCACGTTTAGTAATTTTAGTGCACAGAAGACAAGCACTGCGATCTTCAAAACTTGTGAAGTTTGCGAAGCGTGTGAGAATATAGTCGATTATGAACCTAGAGCTGACTTTTCGTCTCGCCAGACCGACTGACTTCGACGAAATCCTGAAATTGTCAGAAGGCATCTACCATGGACACGACTATCTTCCACCGACATACCATACGTGGATGACGATGGACAAAGTTGCTGTTATGCTCGCTCATTCTGGCGACAAGCTCGTGGGTTTGGTTGCGAGTTCCGTTGTCGATGACGAACGGACATCCATCCGCCGAGCAGGACGGACTTTGCCGGAGTTTCGCGGACAAGGTATTTTTAGTCAGCTATCACAAGCAATGAACGAGTTCGTACGAAGACATTATCCGAGCGTGTGTCGCGAACGATTCACAAGTTTAGAGAATTATCCTTCTGTGACCAAACTTGCGCAGTTGGACATTTTGAGTTCTTGCGTCATAAGGAAGACCGCTCTTCAATTGCATCACTTTTCCACAAGTACAAAATCCATCCAGATCGAGGCTTGCACGAAAGAATATCTATGCGATGTTATTTTCTCTAGCTCTGGGGCACAGAAATTGTTCCCAGACAACGTGATCATCCTGGATTTTTTCCCTATCGAGCCCTCACGAACAAATATCGATTACTTGCAGCAAGAAAGGGATCTGTACTTTGCCGTCGAGAAATGTAGCGATGGTGATTGTCCAAGATCAGTCAGCTTCGGGGTATTGTCGCGAACAGTAAATTGTATGCACTGGTATGTGACCGTTTACACTAGTGATCCAAAGCTTTACGAAGCTCATCTTTTACATCAACTTAAACGAGCCCGTGAAGTTATCGATGGCGATTTCGTATTCCGCACTTTTCAAGACGAGAATTTGACACAACACGGAAGAAGAGTGCTGCAGAAAGAGTTACAGCTGGAACTGGAAGAAGGGATGTCCAAAAAATCCATGAAGCTGTACGAAAACAAATTTGATTAACGGGGCTGAGCAGGCAATTTTAGACGAAAAAAAATAATTTATCAGGCTCGAAAGACCGTACTCGTAAAAACAGAACAAAATCACACTTACTTGGCGCAAATTTCAAATAGACACTGAACATTTAAAATTCAGCATTCTTTATTAATTTGATTCCGGCCGGTTTGTTGTCATTGTATTTGCACCACAGTGAGATATATCACATTTATGTACCTTTCATAAGTTTATTTTTAGAAAAGGATGTAACGCGTTTTGTTTGCATAATCAAGAATTTATTTTTTACCTAGTAATGGTAAATAAAAACATGATTTTAAAACTGAATGATGTGTGTGATGTTCAAGGTCCAGTCATATTGTGTGACAGTTTCATTGTGTGACAGTATATCCTATTTTTAAATTGCGTGATTCAGGTCTAGAGACCGGAAGTGCGTGGCGGACGGTTTCAACCAGGATTTCTCCATTTTCCGTTCAAACAAAAAATAAACCTCACCGCTCGATTTATCATGCAGAATTTAGAAAATATGCGAACCTCCGTTAGAAACCGTTGCAAACTCATAAAAATATGGGATTCCCACTTGGCAATTTTTTCAAAGAAATGTATGTTCTCTCGCCCCTGGTACATTCGTGCGAAACCATTCATATTTAAGTCTTTCGTCCTATAGGTTCATTTTCATGCAAATCAACTCATTTTCATACCGGAAAGGTTTCGCCTGAAGACTCGTTTTGAAACAGAGGAACAAGGTAATTCAGCAATGGCCTATTCAACTTCAATAAGCTCGAGAAATTCTCTCGAAAGAAAAATATATCTTTTGATTTCTTCAGAATAAGATAAAAGGTATTAAGGTAATTGGACCAAAAGGTCTATTTTTATCGCCCGTGTGTGTTTGGCGATACAAGTTTCCTTCGCTCCAAAAAAGAAGAAGAAGATGTTAGTTTGGCCTTACGACAGGAAAATTATCGTCACAAGGAGGAAGAGATAAGACCCTGGTACCGAGTTTGCAATTGTGGCTGGCACAGGCGGGTTTTCAACGTTCTTTAATGACGTAGATTGGAAAATAACTGTGAAATTTATAAAGGAACGGAAGTTTCTTTAATTATTTTTCGTGGATTTTAGTGAAATCATGGGTCTGCCTGACAAATACTTCGTTTGCAGCAAAACGAGAGTTCTAATCGGCGTTGTTGTGGCTATCGTGATATTGATTGTCGGTCTTGCTATAGGCTTGAACGTCAAGAAGTACCAAGCCGAGAAAAATCTGCCATACGCCACGGAGAAATGGGAGCTGCCAACTGAGTATCGCGCCCGAAGACCCAAAGGTATCGATATCTACAAAGACATGCTGTATTTGACTCCTAGCGGAGATGAAATCGGTCACGCAAGAAAATGTGTCTCCTGTACCTGGAGTGTGTATATGTTGAACGAGGACGAAGAGATAGCGGTTGTGATTAAGAAGAAGATTTGGAGTTGGACAGACAAGTACGATATTGAAGAACAGTGGAAAACCAACTCGACTAGTTACAGGATCGAATACAGTTGGAGCGGTTCAGGAATTACCAAAGAGGTTTATGTCATCAAGAATTCCGATGGCGACGAAATTGCCCGCACTGATCGTTTCCGATTGGAGTTCGG